TATGATCGGCCTCCATCAGCGGTAACGTGCGTTTTTATGCCTGTATATTTTACGGTTTCAAAATATATATTCACTGTTCGAGTTAATGTAAGTAATAATAATTTCTTATTCAAATAGATCAGCAGTTTTATTTGAAAACGTGTGAATATAATCTGCACACAATACTCTAGTTTTCAAATTATTTTAAGTTTAATAAAAAAGGAAATCAGAAATGATAGTGCAAAAGTTAGTGTTTTAACAATTATTTTAAATGGATCCAAGTTTGACACAAATATAAATTACCAAATAAATTATTATTCTTTTTTACGTTCTAAAAAGAATAAACTGAACAACTAAATTAAAACTTTGTTTCCATATTACTGGAAAATGCATTTATTCGTTAATTTATGAACCTGATTGAAAATTATTCATAAATATATATCTTAGCCAGTGGTCGGAAGCAATGCACTACAAGTAGCAAAACTACTGTAGTCGCTATTTTCTTCCGTGATTTGTAGTGCAGTGAGCTACTTTTTAAAATAAGTAGTGTAGCGAGTAAGTACGAAACAAAAAAACAATTATCTGTAGGGATTCCTGGCTTTTAATGTTAGTTAAATAAAGAAACAACGTTCAAACTCAAAAAATTTTCGAATCTGATTGGTGCAAATCCTTCGCGAACCCGTCAACGTAACACAATGAGAATGCTTTTGAGGCCGAGTGTTAATAAGATCTACCGTCTGATGCTCGGAAAAAATCGTACGAAATCGGTCAAGTTGTTCCTGAGAAATCGTATTTTAAATATCTAACTTTTTTAAAAATTCGATTTCACAGGAACTATAAAGTACATTTTTGTGTCTGATTTCGTAACGTAAAATATTGTCTGCGCTAATTAATTAGCATATTTTCGGTTACCCACTCAAACCATAAAGATTGAGAATTAGAACGTGAAGATCATCCGACCATTAGATCAAAAGTTATTCAGAGTGGTCCGTTTTTTTTATTTTCGCACTGTACTTTTTTTCTTGGAGGATATAAAAACGCCTTGATCACTTAAATTAAAAATATTTCTCAAATCACTGTCGAGAAAAGCATAGAGTTAGAAAGTTTAAAGAACAAATTCTTAAAAACTACTTCAGAATAAAGAACTATTTCATACAAACATGAATTAAAACTTCTTAATATCTCTTCTTATTTAACCAAGCCAATTTTTGATTCAAAATCATTTCGAATATTGGTGAGAATCAAGTTCTGCAGTTAAGTTTGTCTTCCAAAAGTAACAAAGTAGTGACTACATTTTGAAAGCAATTTTTAGTAGCTACATTTAACGAAAAGTAGTTGTAATAAACTGCAAAAAAAATGTAGTTTTTCCGACCACTAGTCATAGCACTAGGCCATTACTCCATAAAATAACAAACCATCAGATGGCAGCACCAGGTGACAAAAAATGAATAGCTTGAAAATCTCCAAATTGATAGTGCTGTCATCTGCATGTTAATTACTGAAACTTAGTATAAAAAACAGGTAATTTAACTAAAGTTTTTTTTTCTTAGCTTAAAAAACTCATCCTTTCAAAAATGTCTTTAGCTTAAGTAGTCATATTTATCACAAATACTAAAAATTTTAACTCTTAAACAAATAATATTGAAAATTGGAACATACGAATTTAATCTCTGTTAACTTTAGGCAACCTGAATATCCAGAAAATTGGTTTAAAAAAATTTATTTTATAATTGTTTTATATTTAGCTTTTCCAAAAAGTTTCGACAATTTTGAAAACGTTCATTATACTTTCTCAATTTAATCGCTTAAATTTTAAGTAAGTTCTTGCTCATTAATGTTAATGCTCTTGAGTGTTTACCACAAGGTAAAATAAAGTTTTCGAAACTAATAAAAAAAAAAAATAGTGCGTGAAGACACTCCGCGCGGAAGAAGTTAAACTTCGCAACCTGCGACGTTAATTGTAGAAGAATCAGCAGTCGTAGATGGATCACTAGTTCTATTCAACGACTCTTTTTCCTGCTCCGCTTGCTTCCGTGCTCTGTAATCACGGTAATATTGTGCATTTTTCCCTCGTGGACCACTTGAACCAGTGGAAGTGCTTGTGGTTGCCTCATCGCTTCGCCCTGGAAAGTGTATTTGTATTAAAAATGTATGTGAATCCGTCATAATGTAATTTCAGAAGCGAAAACCTAACAATCAATTCACAAGAGACGTACCTTGACATAACCTTAAATCCGTCGCATTGTCCGTGGGATTGTTTGCACTCATTTCTTACAATTTTTATCCACTAAATTTGAAAATAAAAAGTACTACCCTATTAAATTATATGTGTATCAAGTCAAACTAAAAAAATGTTTATAGAAAAACAATACTTTTATGACTTTTATTATTTTTATGCTAGTGAGAACCAAAACAATATGCAATAAAGCTGTATANTCTTATTTAAGAATAGACTAAATGATATAAAAATGTATATTAAATAAAGCTGATGTTTAAAATTACATAAAAACCTCTCTAACTTATAATTCAAAATTTTTTCGATCATTAATAAATTAAATAACAAACATATAAGGCATATCACATAAAAAGTTCGAAAATCTATGAGTATTGCAAGCATATTCCCCTCAAATCATCAATATTCTTTATTATTATTTTAAAATTTACACAGCTTGTTAGAACATGCGATTAAAAGTTAATTAGGTGCTCCGTTTGTTATTATACGCATTGGCATATAAAGATTAAAGATAGTATTGGGTAAAAATATAATTAATAGCAATCACATAAGAAGCAGAACATATAATGTACCACTAATATTTTAAATACCTTGATATTGTTTTCAAGAAATATAATCAAAGCTGGTTTAAGTGAAATTTTATTCAGTAAAAAGCTATAATTTTACAAATTCTGCATAATCTTATTATAATGCATTTCATTTTTTTTTAGCTAAATATTCTGATACAAAAAAATAAGGGAAAAAAAATTTGATTCGATTTTGAACAATATTTTTAACATGAAAGTTAATTTTAAAAAAGTAATATTTATTGACATGAAAATTAATTTTAAAAAAGTAATATTTATTAACATGAAAATTTATTTTAAAAAAGTAATTAATTTTTTTAAGAAAAAAGACTGTGTCTGACTATGTTCGATTTTGAACAATATTTTTAACATAAAAGTTAATTTTAAAAAAGTAATAATTACTAGCATGAAAATTTATTTTAAAAAAGTTATATTTATTAACATGAAAATTTATTTTAAAAAGGTAATTTATTTTTTAAAAAAAGACTGTGTCTGACTATGTTGAATGGGCTGCCAACCATTCTCTATTCACGGGCGCTATCCCATTACTGCACGGTGCGGGAGCTTTTGCCTGCTCCGTTTCCGACCTGGGCCGGTTCGCTCCGCCTTAGACAACCTGGTAGCTCCGAATTCCTCCGGTTCCACCATATCGACATCGTGCTTAATGCGGACGCCTGATCAACATAGGCGAGCGGAGGACAGAACTCCCAACCTCAAGACATCCAACAGCCTAGACCTCCAAGCAGCTGGATTACAAGACCACGCCACTGGTCCCGGTCGATTTAATAAGTTCTTAGTAGCTTTAAAAGCTGAAAAGTTCTGACATGAAAATTGTACTGCCATCTGGTGAGTAAAGATTGAAGATGTTTTCGTTTTAACAATAAACATTCATTTTTTATTTAATTCTATATTTTTGGAAATTCAGCAAATATCGAATCACCGATATGAAAAAACCATGATGCTTTATGAAAGAATAAAAGTAATAACCAAGGGCACGAGCAAATATAATTTTGGAGATTCCACGGTAAATGTTCATTAAAATATTTCAAAACCACACAAGCCAGAAGTTACTTTTACAAGCATGCAGCAGAAATTTTCGGAAACGATTTCAATACTTTAATTAAGGCTATTAAACTAAAAAAAATGTTGACAATATGTACATTTTAAACTATATTTAAACTCAAAAACATAAAAATATTAATGAAAACTATACATCATTAAAAAAAAATTATTTTTTGTATTACTACTATATTCCAAAGCTGCACTTAATATTAGATAACATCATAAAACTTCAGTTATTTTGCACAATTTTCGAGTATTAGAAAGAGATCGCTGTTTTCTCCGCATTATATAACGTTAGATTCAATACAAACTATACATTTATCCAGCTTTCGCTGTAATATTATTTTTAATTGGTTTTCATATATATTAGATAATATATTTTCTGTCATTATCTTGCATCTATTTTTATTCTTGGAATAAGTAAGAGGAAGATTTAAATGGTAGTAGAATAATTCGGCGATGCAATTTTACAAAATTATTTTGCCGAATTCCGATACTACCATCCATTTTCTTCTTCCTTACTCCAAAGTATCGAGTTAATTTTTATGAATTAATATTTCCAATTTAATTAAAAAATTAATACTTGAATAGCAAAACTTAAATTGAAAAAAACATTTTTTTTTTCTTTATAGAAAGAGTTTTCTGCTTAGATTTGTACCACTAATCATTTCTAAGTGTTTATTTTTCATTTTAAATGTATTCCTAAATTTTTTTTTAGAAATGAGCCAACTTTATCAAAATTTCAAATTAATTTTTCAGTTAATAAAATATGTTTTATAAAACCCATTACTCAGGACATTTCTCATTTCTGAAATTATGTAATAAAAAACCATGCTTAACAGTTGTAAAGTTATATTTTTATTTGAATTAAATTGAAATTTAAGCTACAAAAAAAATTCTGTACATTTATTTTAAAAATATGCTACTTATTTACAAAAAATTAAATTGTAGCTTTAATTAAAGAATTATTCAAGATTAAAATAAAATTATTGTTTTAATTTTTAAAAAGTTTTTTTTGTAATAATTGTGATAATAAAAGAGCTAATTTAAAAATAATCAAATTACTTATTTCTATTAATTTTCTTCCATTTTTTACTTCCCTGAAATCAAATAGAGAGATAACATAACCTAACTCTTTCAATATCTGAAATTTTACTTACCAAAACACCTGGAACAAAGTCCAAATGTACCCATAGAAATTTTTTCAGGGTGAAACCAGGATATCATCTAAAAAGTTTACAATAATTTCTTATATTCTAAAAACAATTTTACGTTGAGACACGAGAAATACTTAACACTTCGATAATTATTTAAAGCTACTATGTACTAAACCAACAATCTTTGCCAAAATTTTATATAATATTTAAGTTTAAAAAAATAATAATAATAAATAAAGAAAGAAAGAAACCCACTGTGCTTTATTTAACTAAATTTTGCACAAACATGTAATTGCATACCAGAATGAGACAAACAAAAAAACATTCATTTTTAAATCATCTTTTAAAAGCTGCCTATAGTGATAATGATAGTAATTTGACTATTATCTATATTGAGAAAATTGTTATCACGAAATTTATTTTTGTTGAAAACAAACCAATTCCATCTCTTATATTTCGCTGATAAGAAATTATGCATTACGAACATAGTAAGCTATAAGAGGCAAAAACCAAATTAGGTGTTATACGTAAACATTTTAAACGGGGAACTTAAAGGGGGGGGGGGGAAATGCAATAAATTGAGCGGATGCAGGAGTTCCTGATATTGATGAATTAGCCACAGAATAAGTTATGGCATGCATTTACAAAGCATGGTTTCGTAAAGAATATGCAGGATATTTCAGATGAAAATTTAAAAAAAAAATTTTGCACTGAGTTCAGTAATTTAGAGCAGTGAATCCCAAATGGGGTTCCGCAGAGTCTTAGGGTTCTATGGAAGGGTGAAAGGGTTTCCAAGAATATATGATTTTTTTTAATCTCACAGTAATGATTTTTGAAATCTTATTTATATTTAGATATAATTAATAATATTTTATTTATTTATTATTAGGTCGTATTTGTGTAATTATTTAAAGTGAAATAAAGTGAAGAAAAAAAAATAGCAAAATTTTTTGTTTAAAAAAATTAAAATTGTTCTAATAACGAAACCTAAAATATATCATGAGAAGAACCAGCATTTATGAAAAATTACATTTATATTTTCCATCGCGCTTTTCAAATCAAAATAATATGATTAAATTCGTTAATAAAGAAATATGTTTCCCTGTTAACCAATTTCAACTTTTATAACATCTCTTTTAGCTTTCGTTTCAACAAAAATTATAAAATCGCTTATTTGTTTCATTTTTGTTAAGTTTATAACCTCAAAACTAAATTAGATACTACTACTAATTCAACTGTCGGAATTAAAACTTAATTCAAGATTATTAATGAAAAAAACGATGAAGAAATTCTACTCATCTTCCTCTTTTTAAATATTTTCAAAATTAAGTGGTCTTTTGTTGGTTAGTAAGCTCACAATAGTTTTTATATACTTCATTATTTATTAAGTAAAGGTTCTGACGAAAAAATTACCATCACTTAGGATTCTGTAGCTGAAAAAAATTGTGAAACGCTGTTTGGAGGAAGAGGACAACACTTATAGTTTGTCTAAAGAAAGAACTCCCCTAGCCATTCGTCTGGACCCATGGAGGAGACTATGGTAACGAGGTATAACTATCTCAAGTAGGGGTGTGAGATCACTGTCTAGGACAGACTTTGGCTCGAGACGGCGATAAAGAAAGAGAATCTTTTTCTTCCATCAATTGTGTTAGCCCTAAAGTAAGAGAAGCTACCCTCCCTAAAATGCTCTATTCTTGTTTTCATAGCACCAGGCTGCTTCAGACTTTGGAGCGGGATGAGTTCTTACCGTAGACAAACTATAGTTGTCTTTTCGTTTCGATTGTCTTTTATCCGTTTGAATTACGGAATTATCTTTATCGATTTCCTCTCGTTTAAATTAAAACATTAATTTTATCTTAAATATCTCAATAATTTCGATTGCTTAGTTAGCAGAACCTTTTAATTTCAATTATATTTTTCTCTTCTTCGAAATCACCAAGAAGCGAATAATCAAAGTAAACTTCTTCAAGCTAATCCTGAAATTTAAAATTGTTATTTCTTATCACCCGTTATGTTTTAAAAGCCCTGCTGCACTTTTTGAGAATTAATAGTGTCATCAACGCAACAATATCTTTTGATTTCTTTAACTCATGTATCGAACGTTAAAGAAACGGAACTTTCCTTCAAGCATCTTCGATTTATGGGAAAATCCCCTTTCCACTTAAAAAATTGCCTTTTTGATTTGAAAAACAGGAAGTCGTGATAACCTTGACAGCAACTATTTGATTTGAATTAGTAAAAATAACATTTGAATATCAGATATTGAATTTATTTTTAAATAGAATCCCTACTGGTGACTGCAAAATGTTTCGATTGCTAAGTTTGTGAATAATCAAAATTTGCTTACCTGTGATTTCTTGCTTCTGAGGAAAAAAGATTATGATTTATTCGAAAATATTGTTAATTTCAAATATCAAAGTATGGAGCTATGATTTAATTCAATTCGCATTTTGATTCATACTTACTCTTTAAGTCACCAGTTAGGTACAATATTGAGTGGCATTCGATTCTACTAGCAACAAATTTCAAACTAAGACTTTTTTAATGTCATTAAAAAATAAAAGTTTTTTATTAAAACTGAACATCACGCCATCTATCGAAAAAAAAAGTTTTATAAACTGAGCAACCATAATGTATATGTTTTTCAGCTACATTTTAAATAACTTGTGCTTTTAAATTAGTGGTTGTAAATTTTAATTACTTGTGCTCGTAAATTTTAAATAACTTGTGCTTCTAAGAATTTTCTTTTTCTCTTTTAAAAGATCATTATATCTTTTTCCTTGTTTTCTCTAAATTTTTAACCTGTTTCATGAGTTCTGTATACTTGCAGCTTATATAAGCTGCAAGTATAAGTTTATAAGTTTTATTTACTGCGCATATGCGCAGTTAATAAAACTTATTCTTCTTAATTTTCTTCGTTAATCTTTTATCCTTTTTGTTTTTATTACGTTATAATACACACACACACACAGATATGTATATNTTCTTTTATCCTTTTTGTTTTTATTACGTTATAATATATATATATATATATTATAACACTTCATTAATCTTTTATTAAAGCACAAGGTAAAAATACTTATTTGTTGCTATCAAAAAAATATTATTTTAATAATATTTTTTTAAATCGTGACTTTTAAAACTCTGGGTATTAGAGAACTTTACATGATAATTGCTCAGACCTAAATCCTATAGTGTATGCCTTAGGTTGCCCTTGGCCGACGCAGGGCCGGATTAAGCGTAAGCGGAGCCTTAGGCCATTAAAATTTTTGGGGCCCTTAGATAAAAAAAATTCTCTCGTATACTTTTTATTTAATCAAATGTAAAAGTATTTATCTATCTTTTCATTTAAAAAAAACATATTTAAAATTAAAATGAATAACAATAAATTAAATTTTACTTTATTTTATTAAATTAGAACTAAAAAATAATCATAACATTTTGAAAAATCATTGTTTTTCTTAATTTTTTAAAATTTATTTTCAAAAAATCCATTTTAAGGGGGTCCCTAATCATTGGGGGCCCCAGGCTATGGCCTAATGGGTAATCCGGCCCTGGGCCGACGTTTTTCACAAAGAATGCATACTCTCCAAACGTGCAAGAGCTGAAAACCGCCTTGAGAGAGGATTGGGACAAGATCCCACAAGGACTATTCGATAGTTAAGTGAACAACATTAGTAACAGAAAAATAATATATATACCATTAACTCGGTTACAGTTCTGCAGGTTGAACTGCGGATGTGAAGAAATCATTTCAAGCTTATTTTCAGTCATTTTTAATTGAACGAAAATCTTCGCAGAATCGGTATGCAACTCTCTGCCGGCCTTTGATAAAACGTTTATCTAATTTTTTTTAACAGTTTCCGTTAACATTTTTCATAGCTATAACTTAACATAGCTTTTTCTCTTGTCCATATAAAGGCTATCAATTACCAAGAAAAGCTGGTGAAAAAAAACATATGCTGTTATTTGCAACAAAAATTAATGATTCAAATTCGATTTTCCAGCAAGATATTGCCTCCATTGATCTAGAAAATCTTCACGGAAATAGTTTTTAGATAATAGAGTAAAAGCACGGAATGGACTGTCGATTTTTCTTATCCTAATCTTTAAGAAAGAAGAAAGCTACATCATCAGTAGGGTAAGGCTGTATATGCAAATGACAGGCAGTTTCAGTCTGTGGCTGAATTGAAGGCTGCCATCAATTAAACCCTGACAACATTGATGCTACCAAAGATTGATGACAGCATCGTAGATTCGAATTCATATTTAATCATTGCTGATATATTGGCTATGAGCAGTGGTGTTTTCATTTCGAGGGAAAAATTTCCCCTCTTCTGTTTTTATTATTCAATTTATTTACCCTGCCTTGATGGAACAGTTTGTTATTCCTTTTAAATATATATTGTGTGCGGGCTTACTGAATATATGTGTTTTGCTTCATGTTGTCTACGAGTTCTCTGTACCTACAGTACGAGTAAACTGCACTGTAGTTGTCTCAACCATCTCGGATCACCCATATTTGAACATTTGTCAATTATCTGCATTTGATAACAACCTCCAGTGGATTTCATAGAAATTTTAACGGTAATGTACGCATTGTACTGTTTAGAAATAACTTGGATTGTTAAGCTGATTTTTAAAAAAGAAACAAAAAAGCTTTTGTGTCATATTGCAGCTTTCATAATAAGTCTGGGATTCAAATTAATGGTTTTCTCTAAGTTTTTCTTTCAAACTTGGGGAGATAAGTCCTCGAATTTTCATAATCTTCTTTTAGTAAACCTATCACATCCAGGGCTAAACACAATCGCGTATTCGCGTGTGTGCACGCAATCAGCCAGAATGGTCCCCGTCGTCAACCACTACTATTCAACTCAAGTTCACTAGTATATACAAGACGTGTTAACTCGATTCTATGTTTGGGTGTACCTTTACATAGAAGTAGGTTGATATTGTAGGTAGCCTAGCCCCACAGTTCCTTAATATACTGCCGTTAATCAGAATTATTGTTCTTGATGTGCAAGGAGCATAGTTTCCATTCGTTAGTTATGAGTGTAGACATATGGTGTTACGAAACACAATTCGTTAATTTTGAGATTTTAATTAATAGATAAAGCATGATCTGTGAAGCCTTTGTTTTCAACAAAATTATTTCGCTTTATTTTCGAAGCTAAGAAAGAAATTCAAACGGTTGAACGGATAATTAACAGAGTATAAGTAACAAGCTTCCTAAAACCAAAATGGACCACTATAAAAATTTTATCTTTTTTTAATTACTCTTTAGCATAACAGTAAACTTCAGTAATCAAGAATAATAATGAATCCTGAATAATTGCAGATAGAGATTCGAATGGTATCTTGTGAATAATTTTTAAAAAAATGTAGTTTCCAAATATCAAGGGGAGGGGGTGTGCTCCTGGGCTAGAGTAAAAAAATTGGATATTTCTCTCATTCATCAATTTCTCTCGGTAAATTTCGGGTAGAGGGCAAAATTACGCCACTTTTTCATATGCAGGTACGAAATAAAATACTAAACTGCTAAATAGCATAAATTAAACAAAAAAAAAACAAGGTTTTTATAGTGGAAAAGTAACTTCTTAATTTTTACTTTAGTTGCAACTATAGATTATTTTTATTCCGCGTTTTTAACAACTGGCGATATTATGACATGAATGAATATACTTATTACGTATTTCAATAGTCACATTTGAATTGTCATTTTCTAATGAACCTTTAAAATGAGTTTAAAAGTACCAATGACAACACGAGTCCAATGAAATGAGTACACATATGTGTGGGGATAATGCGGAAATGGTAAGTTTATAATGGTCTTTTATGAGTATATTTTTCTGCACTTCATTCGAATTTCACGTTCCCAAGTCGAATAGTTTGTTACCCATAACAACGGGGTTGGCGTTTTTGAATATAGAGAGATAAATTTAAAAGATCTGAGCTTTTTCTGATTAAATTCCTTGTAATTGCTACGATTGTTATCATAGTAAAAGTTTGTTGCGTTTTTTTTAACAAGATTTTAAACGGTATTAATGCAAAATATTGTGGCGGAACCTTGTATATGGTAGTATAATTTTCTGATCATCGACAGATTTCGAGAATTTTTTGCTCTGGAAATGGTCTGTTGACGAAATGATGTAGTCGATGAAATCATCTATCAAGGAAGTGGTTTCAATATTTAGCAAATTCATTTATTCACCCTTTCCCCCCCCATTCTTTTCATTCATATAGTGTTATTGCTATTTTCTTGTGTAATCTAATCTATAATAATGTGTTTTCAAAATTTAACAAAATAAATATATATAAAAACATTAAATGTATAAAGGTTTTGTTTTTGCAACGTGATGTTAAAACAATTAGTATAGGCACTTTCAATTTTTTTTTTATTTTTTAAAAAAGCTTCTTTTTGGCAATTGACAACAGAATATAAAAGTTTTGCTTCAAGCTAGGTTTAAAAAATTCCAACAATACTAAATAAATTGACATATCGGGTAATCTAAAAAATACCTAAATTTTTTTACAGAATTAAGCATGACCAGATGACCTAGTCCAGCGTTCCCGGACCACCGCGGACCTGTCAATGCTTGATAATTTTACCACGGCCCGCAAGGGGGGGGGGACGCTGATTGTTTATATTTTAGATAATTTTAAACTACATACATCAATTTTAATATACATCATATTAATTTTAATTTAATTGTATTTAAACATGACCTTCAAAACAAAATACAGTTACACCAAAAAATAAATATAAAGTGATTTAGCATTTTAATTTACTAGAACGTTAAATCAATGAGAACCCTAAGCTTGTTTCTTTGCAATGAGATGGTTCCATCTGGGGGTAATTGGAGATAATGATACATTAAAAAAATTTATGTCACTACCTTCAAGGGCCCCTTTTTTTTAAATAAATAAAATTTTAATGGAACACAGATATTTTTAATTTGGGGTATAAATTCAGTTTCAATGAAATGGGCGGCCCGGAACCATTTGATCCATGAACACTGGGGAACACTGAAGTCGATAAAACGACCTGCCGACGAAGTTATTGTTGTTGAAATGAACTCAACCCATTAATAAATAAGACATTAGAAAAATGAGTTGGAATCGAAAAGAGATATTATAGGGTGTGACGCAGTATTCGAAAAAAAAAGAGGCAAAGTTGTGAGCAGGTAAGGTAATTGAGCTTGCTTAAAACAAAATTTTTTATTTAGCAAGCCTTTCATTTAAGTGAATTTCACATATTTGTAACACACTAAGATTTTGAATGATCTCAGGACTAAGTTATTATAAAAGAATTGTAATTGAAAATGTTAGTATGAATAACAATATTAGAATTAAAAAAAGAAAAGAAAAAGCTTAACTATTGGTATGAGGATATGCCTATAACAAAATCTGTTATTTTATAATCTCTCTCTTCTATTTTAATTATCGACACATGGAGAACCTTTACCTCTTCATTGAGAACTAAGATTATGCTAGAGATTGTTTGAAAATTTTTGGTAACACATAGCCTTGTTTCTTGTACCAATTTTACTTTGAAAAGCAGTCAAAATGCACAAGATAACAATTTGTTTATTTTATTATTATTTTTTTTAAATTTATTTATAGTCTAATGCAGTGTTTCCCAAACTTATGACTCTTGTGTACCCTTTCTAAATTCTTCGAAACGCTGTGTACCACTAATAAAAAAATTTATTCTTTTAAACTATGCTTATTTTTCTTTCTTGGTACAAAGTTGTGTTAATAAGTTCATTTGCATCAGTGAGAAGGATATTATTTTTGCTAAAAATTATATTTTATAAAAATAATCAAAATAAGTAGAATATGTCAAACCTTTACTATAAAAAAATTGCACAAAACTTAAAAATCACAACTGGCTGCGTTCACCACTAATTATTAACTGTTAACTTTGCAAAAAATAGCCAAATGAAAAATACGTAATCGTAAATTTTCGTGGCTAGCTTTGTTTTTAAATAAAATTTTTTGAAATTTTCGCTTGTTGCAAGATATTTCGCATAAGAACGCATACCCCCGCTAAACTGTTCCCGTAACCCTGGGGGTAAGCGTACCATAGAATTTGGAAACACTGGTCTAATGGAGGCAGAAAAAAAGTAATTAATTGCAGTGACAATAATAATGAAACAACACAAATTTATATAATGTCATTAAATTTTTACTAACACATTATGAGTTCGTTCAAAATATATACAGTTCATTTATGGAAAAAAATTAGGACAATTAAACATTTAATTAACAAAGCACTAGTCTACTTGATAAAATAACACTAATTTCGTCATCGTATGAAAAACATTGCCTTGACAAAATGTACATTATTACATCACAGACAATTATCACATGACACGATGGAATAAACAACTCATCACTGTCAAATATTGAGTAGAGCTCGCACTTTAGTAAGAATGATTTCCTCTTATGTTGTATTAATGAAACAAACATTAAACACAAACAGAATATTTTACACATTGCACGCTTCCATTACTAATTTCATAACATGAACAATAAAATTTGTTAAATTAGCTAACTGAAATTATATGAGTAATTTTTTACACCAATAAACAGTTTGCAAATTTCACAGAAGTAGTAAACTAAAAAAATATTAATATAGATTTTTTTTAGTTGAAATATCAAATTTCAGTTAAAATATTGTACATTTGTTTATGAATGTATAAATTCATGACTAAATTTTGAAAACTAGAGAGAAAAATTTTATGAAATCAAAAACAATAAAAAATTAGAGTCATCATATTCTTTAAACGTTTGTATTATTATTCCTCTAAATTTAAATTAATTTAAAATGTAATTGAATTTTGCTATTTTAGAAATTGTAAGAAACTTTCCTTGCAAAAAAGTAATTGTCATAAAATTTTCACCGAACAAAATACCATTTTTTAAAAATATCAAATTCTAATGCAAATATGAGACTAAAATAAATTCAAAACGTAAATTATTTATTAAAAAATATATAAATTAAATACGAAATTTAAATTTATTATTAGAAAAAGAAACTATATGAAAATGGAAGAATAAACTAATCAGACAGCAATAAACTTAACAACATGAAAAATTTAATTATAAGTAATTAAATCTAAAATTAACATGCATTCCAACATAAACAAGCATTCACAAAAGACTATCATACATTAACTATATATTAATTTCATATCTAAAATAATATAAACACTTGTTTGATTTTTACAATTGTATTAAACATCCTTTTGACGAGCTCTACCACACACATACATTATCAAAAATGATTGTTAATTGATTGGTTGAGAAAAACCAAAAGCACATAAAATGATGTTTGTTGCTATATGTTGCAGGTAAGTAGAAGATGTATAAAGAATAAATATTATGAATTGTGCAATATTTTGTTTTTTGAAAATAACTTCTCTCAATATTTGCTTTTAAAAATTAAATTACTTGTATTTAAGAATAAGTGAAATAATATTTATAAAAAATTCTTATCAAAAAATCAACCATAAAAAGTCATCTCAATTAATTGATAATTTATGAAACATTTTTTAAAACATAAATTTAGCATTTCTACATTAAATAAAGATGATTCTACTTCAACAACTTCAGTCTTGAAATGTTAATATGCATAGCTACATACACTTAAACAATTGTATTTTAAGTATTGGAGAAGATTCTAAGTACTTTGTTTTCCAATTACATATAAAAGTTTAATTATATCATTTGCGGATTATATAAATCATAGTTGTAGGCAAAGTAATGAAATTTTACTTTGTACGGCCTCGTTCAAATATTAAAAGTTTATAATATAAAAGGGCATATTGAAATCATTTCATATAGAGTAAATGCTTTAAGTAAATGGTATATTTTTAATTTACAAATAAATCTTTTTAATTCAAAATAAAAAAAATTTGAATGTGAAATATTTAAATTATCCCTAGCAACAATTTTTACCCTGGCCCCAGTTGAGTTCAAAATTGGCTCGATATGGCTCCTATAAGAACATTTACCGAGGGACCAATATTGGGATGTCTAGATTTTTTTAATATTGGTCCTAGAATGGCCTACAGTGGGCAATATAGGACCTATATTGGCTAAATAATAGATATAAAATATCGGGTGAATCTAACAATTCTATAGGACCGATATTGGTTGTTAAGTGGCTGTAAAACATCGGGTGAAGCGGAAATTTCTAAATAGGGTCAATATCGGAAAAATAAAGGCCTTTTGAACAATTATTGAGCCGAGATTCATGAATATTGGCCCAATGAGGGCCTAAGTTATTTTGCTGCTAGGGACATTACAACAAATTTTTAAAAAATGATATTTGGTTACAAACAATTAAATAAATGATTTCTACAGAATGTTGATTATTCTTTATTTTAATTTTAGAATCAGCCAAAAGGTCATGTTTTTAATGATATGTCATGGTAAGTCATTCAACAATTGCTTATAAAAAAAATCTAAAATCAAGACTGAAGCAATTGAATTAATTTTATCGAAATTTAAGTTGACGGTATAAATTCTGTAAACATAATTTGTATCTTAACTATAACAAAGAGAAGATTGAAGAATCAAACAAATGCCTCAAAAGATGAACATGATGATTGTTGATGATGATAGATCAGCAATTTGTACTTTGAGTGACATATTGGTCAAGGCTGTAAACCGGATAAGCGAGAGTTGTTTTTAGAGTATCATTGTGTTCCTCTAAAGACGTTTGAGCGTAATGCAGCACTAAACTTTTTAAACTCGGATGAACATTGTAAGGTTCTGCGAAACCGTAACCTCTCTCAGTTTTGTAAATGAGACAATGTCCAACTTTGCCATCAGCTCTGTAAGATATAAAATAAATTATGTTATTGATGGTAGAGTTGAAAATAATTATTTTACTTTCAATTAAATGCTCTTTAATTTTCTGTTGATTTAACTTATTATAAAATTTTACTTATTTAATATCAATAAATTATCATTTAATATGATGCTAGTTCAAAGTTTCTTAATTATATTTTAATTACTGATAGCATGAATTGTATATTTAAAATTTATATACATAATAAACCATTACAAAAACTTTTTATTTGTTGAAAATAAACTAACACGTTAAACAACATAAAACGAACTGAGGTAGATAACAGTAAAAATATACTAGAATAGATGACACATACATGTTTTTTCTTATTTCTGTTGTTGCTATTTATGACATATTAAGGATAATTGTAAAAGTAGTTGGTAGTTCAATATGGAAAAAATTTGTTGTCAGTTTACATTAATATATATGATGAAAAATTTTTTTTAGTTAATATTAAAGACAAATATTGTTGATAATGGAATATTTTCAACAGATAAAATTTACATATAATTTTATAAATATAAATGCATTTATGATTAAAAAAAAAAACTTTTTATAGGTATCTATCTATTTATATTAATTGAACCAAAATGGAACACTAAAAAATTTCTAACAGAATTAGTAAAAATTTTTTATGGAAAACATGTTGAACTTTTAATGCATTGTCTACCAGTGATGAGTTAACTCATCAATGCATTTGAATTATCTATTTCGATACGAAACTCGGGAATATTTCTGAGCTTAATTTCATTTCATTCAGTATAAATAAAAATTAATTGGAGGTTATTTTGAATGTTTTATCATACTTTCATATTCAATCGCAAAATAATAGCCAGTGAAATGAAAGGTTTCAGTGTAAAATTGCTGATCAGCAAAGTGTTAAGTGCCTTAAACTCCAATTAAGCCCCTTTTCCTGATTATTTATTTATTTATTATTATTTTTTTGTTTCTGAGTAAAATTTCTTGTTCTCTATGTTTTGGGATCACCTTGTGTAATTCCCTATATCATGAATTAAAAGCATTGTAATTATTTTAGATTAACTTAGTTATTACATTAATAAATACACAGTTACATGCCTAACCAGTTTTAAGAGTTCTTAACTTACTAAAGTTTAAGGTAATTAGACTTAGCAGTAATATTTTTTAATGAAAAAAATACTTACACTATCGAAAGCGCATATTGACCTTGCGTCCGGCTATTGCGGATGAGAAAAGTTCCATCCGGTTTACCGGCAAGAAGATTAGTAGCTTCATTTCTAGAGAGATCTTGACGAAACCAAAGTGATTCATTGTGATGGGGTAGAGTTTCATCATCTTGAAGAAAAGCACTCTCTCTATAATTAAGAAGAAAATAATCATGAACACAAGCAAATGCAGGTAGCAAAATTTTTAGTGCCAACATCCTTTTTTAACACTATAAGCCCGCCTAAAATAAAATTTTGTGATTGTAACATTCAGTTTAAATAGGGTTTTCCAAAATAATTAAAAATTAATACAAAATCAGTTTAGATTTTAAATATTTAAAATACTATGCGTATTAAATTTTTAATAATTTAGTTGTAATAATAATACTATTTTTTAATAAATTATTTTTAAAACTAATTATACTGCTATAAAGAACTATTTCTCATATATAGGTTATGGTTGCAATTTTTTGAGTAAGTAAAAAAAAAAGAAGCTAAATATCAAATTATAACGAAGCATTTTTTAAAGTTACATAACTATATATTTTCCCATTGCATTTTGTATTGCCCCCCTTTTTTAGAGGTAGCACCAACATTGTTAACAGCATCTCAATTATGTACTAATTTTCTTACAAGTTAATATATTTAATTTTTAAATATTTCATTATTATAAAATTGTGACAATGGAATATTTTTTAACAATTTCACGAATTGGACATACCTCATCAAATCCTTAGATTCTGCAGATGATTCTTGCAGGAGTTTATGTACTCTTTCTTTTTTCACTCCTTTGGCAGCTAACATTCTGTAAACAGACAAAAAAAATTACCTTTTTGTTCTATATTTGTAAAATATATTTAAACGAAAACTAAAGACAATAAAATTTTTTAAATAAACAAAAGGCTAATTATTTTAATAAAACATTTAAAAAATTGCTTAATAAATTCATTAAAATTTATATACTTAAATGCAGATTATATATACATAGAAAAAGTATTTTTTGGGGTGTAGGGTGATTTTTCAAGGCAAGTGACAATAGATTTCAAAAGCCACTTATTAAATACTATTCAGTTCACATTTATTTCCATTAAAAACATTGAATAACTGTAAAAGAACAATTAAAAATCAAAGTCCTCTAAAAAATAAAACATGAATCATGCCCTTTTGTAGAAACAACAAATATCCTTAACTATAAAATTTTTTATTTAAAGCCACATATCTAAAGTTAGCACATTTAACACTCTGAATATTAGACTCTTTTTTTTCTGAATTGTAACTTGGTGGCTTTCTTGCAACGAAAAACTGATTTTGTTTCATGAAACTCATTTCAATCTACGAAAAAAGGAGTGCTTTAAGAAATAATTTTTCTAATCAACAGGGTGCATAGCCAAATCTGTCAACAAAAAATAAGCACCTTTAAAGTACTTTTTAATCACTCAAAAAATATTTTTAAGCACTATATACATTAATAAAATGCAAAATAGTTCTTAAAGACTTTACATAATCATTATAAAATAACTAGTTTCAGACAAAGAATTCTTTGCTCGATTATATTAGCCACAATAAAAAGATTGAGATTTTTGATTCAATATCAGAGGGTGGAAAATGAAGTTTGAAATGGAGAATATCTTGCAAAATGCAGCAGAGTTGCACATGAGAGTGCAAGAATCTCATCGAGTCCAGTTCAGTAGACGCACATGCTGACTCCCAAGTATTTCATCAAACATGTAACATGATAGGGGTACTATCATATGTTGTTGGCCGACGGTACGCCGATATGGATTGTGGTTGAATGATTTGTGAAAACGTTGAATAGAACTAAGTGAAAACCATGCTTCTGCTTAATACGCGGCGAAAATCGACACGGCAAAGGAAAAAATTTTATTTTCGAAGTTGAAAAATTAAGCACTTTTTAAAAACACCCCATGAGAAAAGCACCTTTAAGGGCTTTTAAAAAACGATCATCAAAAATAAGCACCTTTAAGCACTTTCTCAAAACGCTAGGCACCATGATCAATCTTGCCCAGAGTCATAGCATAATTAAAACTCTCAGATTAAAAAAATAAAATGGACCAAGGAATTATTTCACTCACGCTTGCAAATCTTGTCTTTGTTTATATAGTCTCATGATTTCTGGCCTCAGGGTGTTCATCTCTCTATCTAGAGATCTTTGGAATGCAGACTGGTGCAAGAATTCCATGTCCAACTGCCTTTTACTCTCTTCTAGGGTGTGCTTCCTTGCTTTCAATAATTCATAATTCTCATTCAGTCTAAAAAATACAATTAAATTATAAAATCTTGAAAATAAAAGTAATAAAAGCTTGAAAGTCATATTGTTTCATATGAAATATAAAACTTAATTGAAGGCACTGGAACTAATAACATATGCTACTTTATGATAGATGTCATTTCATAGTGTACACTGCATACAATAAAATTGCAATTTAAGATAAGTATAATTAAAAAATAGAAAATTCCACGTTAACTACTTAATATTGTCTTAAGAAGATTATTTATTAGGGAAGAAATTCTTCACAAAAAATTATCCTGAACGTACATAAGTAATTTAAATTTTACTGTATAGAAAGAACAAGTTCATGCACAAAAAAAAAAAAAAAAATTCAAAATACTTCTTAACATTTGAATTTTCTTTAGATTTACATAAATTCACAATTCTCTAAACATTAAAGAACCAATGGAGGTGAAACAGAATTGGCCATGAAAAGTTTCTTGCACAGTAAAACATTACAGGAACATACGGACCAAGAGTCTAAATAAATTTAAAATCTGTAAATGAATTGGAGGTTTATTTGAATCTGTTTAACTAATTAAAGGGAAGACATTTTTTGTTAGATAGTTCCCTTTCTGTTAGCTTCAATGAAAGTATTTTCAAGCCGTTCATTAAAATATTCTTTTTTAATTCAGGTTATGTTCATAACAACAGACTTTAAAATAGGTTCTTAAACATTAAACTAAAGTTATAATTCATTTTCTTAAAAAAAGATCTTGTTAAATAAAGGATCTTAAAAAACCAGTTCAAATCTACATTATTTTCTAAATAGCTTTTTTCCCCATATTTGTAAAATTAATAATAATTAGGTAAAGTCTATATTATAATAATCATAACATTTACACCTTTAATATCATATACTAAATAATATTCTTAACTATAAAACAATATGCAAAGCAGTTCGACTTAGTTTGAATTAAACTTTTAAATACATTAAGTGTAACTTACAGTTGACGTTCACAAGGAGTTGTATTTTTTGTATTTTCAATATTTTTTTCTAACATATTGATCTGTTCTTCGAATACTTCTAGTGTAGACTTAAATGCTTCTTGTGCTTGTTTCTTTAACGATACTTCTTGGGAAATTTTGCCATGATCTTCATAAAATTGATCAAATTGTTTAATCTTTTGTTGGTATTCTCGATTGATTTTCATTAATTTTTCTCCTACATTTTCTACATCAATTGATTCATCTTCATCTAGCCCAGTCTATGGAATAAAAAGAGATAAATAATCAAAATAAAAAAACTAGACTAAAATAACATGTTATAGTGAAAACTTTAAATGAAATAATTACACTTCAGTAAAAATAATCTTTTTTTTACCAAGATGCCAGGATAATTTTAACAGTTTACTTCATAAGTTATAATCATACCTTGTCCTCGAACCATTGTTCATCATAATCATTGAATTTGATAAGTTTTATTTTTAATGACTTATAAAGAACTATTAAAAGCAATAACAGATTTTTTAAATATATTTTTGATGATATTTGCATTTGCAGTATGAAGGAGATATTAGCAACGAATTTTTTTGGTTTAAAGCATAACTACTTTTTTCATTTATTAATTGGAAAGAAAACAATATAATTAATGTAACCTAGGACTTTTGTTTAATGACACATATTCACTCATTTCAAATGATGCAGTAAGCAAGGAGGGGTATTGCTTACATCGCAAGTGGAGAGCTGGAATCAGGTTTTTGATTATGTAGCCCATAAAACAGCAAGCATTTATAGGTATAAAGGTGCCACATTATAACTGCCAAGGCTAAAGTTCTCTCCCGGGGGTAAATGCCAAGAAAAGAGGTACCATTTTAGATGCTGTCTACATCCTCTGATCAAGATTAAATTTACATAACATTCTTATCATGGCTGTTTTAAAAGATTATGTTCTGAAAAATGAGGCAAGGTGCATTGTTATTGTTTCATAATATGAAAGCAATGAAATATTTCTGAAATGAAATAATCCATCTAGTTGAAATTCTGGAAATTTGTAATCCATGTAAAAATGCTCCTTTGGGAAAATATTCAGCTTATTAAAATAGTACTTTAAGCTCTTCATACCATTAAAACTTTTTTAACTATGAAAAAGATAAAAATCAATTTGAAATCAAAGATTTTTTTTCTTAAATCCAGATAAGGTAAAATGTTTTACAGGCATTATAAAATCTATTTTTACCTTAAAATCATGATTCATTACCTTTAAATATATTGATGGCATTAAAGAAGTATAAAAGAATAACACAGAATATTTATAAAACAAAAGCTATTTCTTACTGGATGAAACCTTGACACAGGATGGAGTAACTTAACATCTAAAGTGCGGTTGTATTGTGCCAGAGAAACATTGTGATAGTAATTTATTAATTCTACTACGGAATTGAACATCAGAGGTTCTGTGAAGCCATATTTTCCATTTCTGTGACAAATTTTAATTAATTTGTTGCTTCCTCCTTTCCTGTAGAAATAAATTGGAAGTGGAAGATAAGAATAATAAATTTATAACCACAGATTTCAATTTATACATAAAAAAAAATTATTAATTATTTGTTAGGACCAGACAAAAAAACTAAAACATAACTAAATTGAAAAAAAAAAAGACAATATGTTTCGTAATCTAAAAAAGTTATTCTAAATTTGGCTTTATTAAATGAAATATAGATTTATATATAGAATTATAAAGTTATATTTTTTATAAATCTATATATAATTCTGTATATACCTATTCATTTAATTAAGCCAATTATACAGAATTACAAAGTTATATATAAAATCAAGTCACAACAATTGATAATATATAAATCTTTCACAATTGGTGAAGCTTTTTGGAAGAACAAGACTTTTTTTATGGAGCTTGCTAGGTAATCTCATACTCAAACTTTTTTCATATACAAAACTACATCTAAAAACTCAAAAATGTAAGGATTTTAATAAAATACATACTTATTTATTCAAAATATCTTTCTAAATTTTATACATATGAGTATTTTGTTAATAGCTTCCTTACAATAAAGGTAGTTCCAGAATTAGTCATAATTTCATCAGCAGATTTTGAAAGAAAAAATTGATAAATAATCATTAAATTTCATTTTTAAAGTTTTTTTCTTCTTTTATTCATGATTAAAAAATCTACAATGGAAAAAAAAATAATAAATAAAATAAAGAAAAATAATATAATAAAAAAATAGAAAGGCAATGTAAAAATAGAAAGGTAAAGAAAAATAGGCAATGATTTTTTAAGGTAATTTTATAAACATGAAAATATAAAGAATGATTAAAGACAAATTCATTGCACTTTAATTATTGCCATATTAATTATGTACATTAACAAATTAATTATTGTAATAATCTAAATAATTATTGCTTTATATTTGTAATAATTAAGAATAGAAGAACTGATTGAACTATGAAACACTTTATAACACCATTAAAAATAATACAAATTAAAATGCTTGATACTAACCTTAAAGTTAATGTATATTCTCCTGAACCTTTATTTGAAGCATCTCTAACTAGGAATGTGCCATCAGGAGTATCCTTTAATTTTTCATTAACTTCTTCACTAAAAATGCACAAAATACACTAAGTCAAATAAATAAATAATGAATTGATATATGCAAAATCAATTCAGTATTAATTTAAGTTACACTTTCACCTTTAATTCTACCACTTAAAGCAAAACTGATATTAGAGTTTTTTACTTTCCTACACTTATAACTTTTCTGGATTAAGAGATTTAATTCAAAACATAAATTTAGGTTAGATGATTAAAACACAAAATCTTGAAATAAATATTTCAAACAAAAGAAGGTATTTAAATTTGATAAAAATTTTTATATATCCGTGAAATATAATAAAATAACTAATGATCAAAAAAACTACACACAGCACTAATGTATAATGAAGTAGAAAGATAAATAGTAATTTACAGAGTATTGAACAAGTGGCAAGATGATTAAAAGAATATATCTTGACAAAAATATTTTGAATAAAAAATAATCATTAAAAGTTCTTTTTATTATAAAGTTCACATTTTCAAAATTGAATTAAAAAGTAAATAAATAAATAGCATTTAAAGCATTATAAAGGTAATATTAAAAAGGAATATATAACCTTTTGCATTTTTTCTTGTCTACACATCTTAGAATATGAATGTTTATTGCAAACATTTATCTCAAAGACACACCTAATTGAAATACTTTTAATTGCATAGGGTTTTGAAGAATGCTATCACTATTTCATACCTGTAACTTTTGCACTCTTCACAAAAAGAGTTTCCTTAGAGGTAGTGAAATAACTATTTAGGCAAATACTTAATTCACCTATCATTTAAAACACATTAAGGTAACTAACTGAACCTTTTTAAGTATGTCTCAAATATTGAAATGTAGTGGTAGTTAAAAGTATATTAAATCAAATTTTTTAAAACAGGAATCAAGCATGTATGCAAATATTTTGCTATCACATTAAATACAAAAATAAAACCTTACAGAAACTTTCGAAAAGTTGGCACAATTACAATTTGATTTGAATAACCAAAACTAGCAACTTTTTCCAAGAATGACTCTTACCGAGTAATATCACCCCAGTACCACTCAGCTTCATTAAGGCTCATTGGACCCTCTGGTCGTTGAGGAATGCTATTATTGGAAGAGATGCTGACAGAACCACTATGCGGCAGAATGGTATCAGGGAAAGGCTGAGTAAGTTTTGAGGCACGTCGAGGTGGGAGAGCTGAAATGAAAATTGGATAAATAAATACATAAACCTTTCTTAGATTAACTTAAAAACACTTGTTTTTAAAGATTCACCTTTTTTGTTTTAATGTGTTTATAATCATTGTTAAGTATCATATTACTGTTTTTTCTTTATGCAATTTTTTATAATATTTTTTTTTAACGGCTCCAATCTTATGTATTTGCCATTTATGGAGACGAATAATGCAGAATCAATTGCTTTTGCAATTGATTCTGCCAATTTTTAAAGAACATTTAAAAATATATAATTAGCATCGACGTTTAAGAAATATTATAGATTAGGAAGGACTACAATTAGCTTCATTATGCTTGTTAAAACTATTGTATTATTTCATTCTAAATAACTAAATTAAAATCAGTGTCACCCAAAGCTTATCATTGAACTCATAACTTTAAAAATGTGTGTATTTTTATATTTCGTTGTCAACAAATAACACATTAGAAATACTTTAAAATGTTTACTAAAAGCGATAAAAATTTAACATTTGTTATCTTAATATATGTTTAAGAGTTGTATTTACAAAAATGATTAAGTTAGTACATAGTATAGAGTTTACACAATAGGAAAACTATTTATTTCTAAAGCAACTGAAATTTTTTTCGGAAAAATTAGCATATTCTGAATTTAGGTTTATTTCAAAACATTAGGAAAATATATAACATTTGCATCCCACTCTTGCCATTTTTAAAAAAAACCACTTTGAAGAAAATTCAGAATACTTTTATTCAAATGGTTGAAAATAGCTAACAAACAAAATTAATTAAGTTAAACATAACTAAATTTAATATTTCATTAGGGTTCTAAACAAGGCCATTGTACTTCAATAATAAATAAGTAATGCATTAAAAAATAGATTGACAGTAAAAAACTATATTAAAAATACAATAGTTTGAGTAATTTATGACAAAATATGTAAAAAAATACCTGGAGCAGAGTCAAAAACAGGCATGTGTTCACCCCATTTTCCTTTCAACAGCAGTAATTCAACTATTCTAATGTGCGCTTCTGTGTTATAGACAATTTGGCTATAAATAAAGAAAATAGATATCAAATAGGTTACTATAACTGAATAAAATTTATTCAGGTCTGTAACTATAATTATCAAACAAATGTTTAGTTATTTAAACTTGTATTAATTGATGACTTGAGACTCCAATTTTAACTTTTTTTTTTTGTGTAAAGTTTGCACAAATATTTTTCATTACTATAACTTAACATAGTTTCTATACATATATATATATGTCATTTATACAGACGTTTTAAAGCTTTTTTTTATCCATAAAACTTAACTGCAAAATTTAATAAATCCATATTTAAATATATAAGTATAATTACTAAATCAATTAAAATAAGTATCCAATTTAAGTAATATTTGGTTTGAATTTAACTTGAAAAGTATAAACCACATTTTAGTTATTTCCTTCAGTTCAACAAGGAAATTAAATTATATTTCCTTTCCTTTCAATAAAAAAAAAACTAAATAACAGCTCAATTTCACTTACACTATTTTTTCCCAAGGTGGACGAAGAAGGATATGACAAAGTACTTGAATTAAAATAGTCGGTGGCTCTTTGATTCCCCTTGAATATTGCAAGCGGCAAACACGACAGAAATGACTCATTAAAGTTTGAAGTACAGACTTATGATGAATTGGCAATTGATGAACCAACTGTTCTAATGCTTGCACACATAAATCACTATTTTGGATCTCTGGAAAGAATTTATAAATTTGAATCAGTGTTTAAAACACAAGTAATAATTTTTGAAAAAGTGTTTACATCAATTACAAAAACTACATAAATTAGTTACAAACATAATTGTAAATAAATTGGAAGACTGTATTAGTCATCCATGCTTATTATTCAAGAATAATTGCTAATAACTTTATATACATAAGAAAATAAAAATTAGTAATATCATTGTCTAATTGGTTAAGGAGAAAATTTTATTTTTAAGTAAAATATGAGTTTGTATGCTAGAAATTTTTTTTTATAAATTTAAAAAAACCCAATTCTCTTTAATCTTTTTCAATGAGAGATACAACTTCATGTTTCGATTCATTTAACCAAATTCTGAATATTATGCAGAATAAAAGAACATGTTTTGCTAGTTTCTTTAATATCTAGAACAAAGGACATCCACTCTAGTCTTAATGAAGTATATATTGAAATTATTATGTTTTTATTTTTACTATCTTTAAAGCTTAAAAAATGTCCGACAAATGTTATAGAATAATTGAAAAATAAATAAATAAATGAATTAAAAAAAACCTATCAAATAATCAATAAAATAACATTTTAATGAATTTTTATAAACAGTTAAAGCTGAAAATTGTAGCATATTACAATTTGAATTTAATCATTATATTCAAAATTTATTATCCTTATACCACTTTCAAATGCAGGAATTCAGAAGAAAACATAACAATACAAAAACTTACTAATGAATAGTAAAGTATACGATAATCAAAGTTAATTCTGAAATTACTTTATAAATTTTCTAAAAATAACAGAGGGATATATTCAAATCAATTTTAAAGTTAAGCAATAAAAAACAGAGACCTAAAGAAGCAAATTTATTTAAAAAATAATACATACTTGCTGTTTCAATAAATTTTTCATATAATTGAACTGGAAAAACTGGATTAGGTAATTCTCTCAAATATTTCTTTAAGGCACTTGCTATGCAATGCAACTCATAACCTGCTAAGTTTGTGCGATCTACATCTTCACTTAACCTTTGACGTAGTTCTGCCACAACATCACTAGGAGCAGATGTTCGGTACACTCTATATAAATCAATATCTAAAATAAAACAAACATATTAGCATCAATCTCTGAATAATTCAGTTTAGTGATGACAATATACAATTACAATCATGAAGAACAAAACTTTTTATTTGCAATATACATATTTTTTATTTATTTAATTTAAGATGATATGCTAGTTGCAACTAACAGAAATAAAATTTCACCTTAAATTTCGAGACAACTTAAAATTAATTGAATAGGAAAACTTTTTAAAAAAAAAACAATAACAGATTAAAAAATTATTTATGCAAAACGGCCCCTTCTAATCATGTGATCAATAATACTGTATTCACAAATTGATGGTATCTAGTAATATAATAAAATTTCAAATACATTGCATCCTTGAAAATAAAGGCTAATCATGGCTCAAAGTTAAGCATATTTCTCTTAAAAAAGTCTTTTTATTTGTTTTATTTTACTTTTTGGTAGCACTATATCATTAGCATTTCAAAAATAAAACATCAAAAGGAATGGCATCAGCTTGCTATTCAGAGTTGTGAAGAACAGCAGTGCTTTTGACATGAGAATTTATTTCAATAACTCAAATGTTCAATGTCTACAATATTTGAACAGTCAAGTAAGTGTCATAAATCTGAAAACAATTTTTCATTTAAATTTATTTCAAAAGAAAGTTTTATAATTTTCAATATTTTTTTTCTTTTTGAAAGAAAATTATAAACTTGGTCCTCATTATTATTTTGATAGAGTATTAGTTCTTCATTGAATTCAAAATGATTTCACTTTAACTCTTTCATTCCGGTAGTGTCTGGGATTTCAATCTCCCCTGTTACGGCAGTTTTCCGAAGGAAGGTTTTTCACTTGAACTCGACCACAGTTCCCACCCAGTCAGATATAGTAAAGGGGGTGTAAACGATTCCCCTTTCTCTTCATTCAAACTCAGCAGACTAGTGGAAAAAGAATGCACACAGCAACAAATTGTTGGATAATTTAAAAACACCCCATTTACCAAAACGTTAGTTCAGCCCTTTTTTGGCGACGAATATCTAGACCTTGGAAAAGTTTCTTTCCTTCTTGTTTTCTGTCCTCTTTTTAGATCTTTTAAAATGTTTTTTTTTTACTCAATTTTTTTTACAAAATCATCAAATGTAAAAAGTTAAGATTAAGATAAATCACTCTTTAATAAATTTTTTATTAAATTGCCTAATTATAATATATTTCGTGAATAATTAATTTAGCTTGAAGTAATATGTATACCATAACTCACAAATTTCTCTTCTTTTCCACTTCGGACATCGAATCTCGAGACTTGTTTACTCAAACTTTTTTTTTGATTCAAAAATAATTTTAATAACCTACTATTTTTTATTAAATAGAGATTTTAATCAAATAGTTTTTAATAGTATGCATAAAATTTCTCAGAATATTGATTAAGATTAATTATAAGATTATTTATAAAATTTTGCTCAATCTTAAAGATTAAAGTTTAAAATTTTGCAGAATCTGAAAGATTAAGCTATCTTATTTTTATAAATGACAATACCCAGGGCTCGAATGATCAGTTAAGTAGTGCTTGAAAAATACTTTTTCGAAGAATGTTCCATTTCCGAGATTTTATTATTCAACTGTTTGACGCAGATAGGACACCGGTGTCCCTTATATATTTTTTTTCTCTGGCGCTCTAATTAACAGATAAAACATATTTTGATATTTTTTAAATGTAATAAACTCTTTGATAGTTTCTAAAAAACTGTGTTAGATTATCGAAATTATATTTTTACTAAAATTAATAAAGAAATTTGAACAAAACTTTTATTTTCATTCAGATAAAAAATTTATTCGAAATTGATTTTGAAAATTAAAGAAAACTGTTTCTCTTAGATCAAAATAACTGTGTCTGAAAATAAAGGCAAACTTAATATATATATATATATATATATATATATACTACTATTTGCGAATTTAAACACTGTTTTTAATGACATTTTCTATAGGTTAGAGAAGTAAGCTTACGTTGTAAATTCCTTACGTAAACCTGAAGCCATTCACTGATAATAAAACAATGTTTCGTAAATATTAGTTAGAAAATTTTGTGCAATAAAAATATATTGCAAATTATTTACAGCTTTTGATTTTTTTTTTTTTTTTTTAGTAAGAAAAATAGTTTTTTCTTTTTTTTCTTCTTAATATGTGCCTGAAATTTTATGTCAGACGCTTATTAATTGCAATTTAAATCCCTTAAAATCTTAATTACTGCATAACTTAATTCCATTCATATTTTTTAAGGTAAACTTATTTGAAATAATTGGTTTGAAGTTTGCTTAAAAATAAAATTTAAAATCTGAGTAAATGGATTTTTTTTTAAAAAGTAAGGAAAAAAAAAGACTTTTAAGATGAGATATTGGCGATGCTGAACCTGATAAGCCTTCTTTTATTTCTAGCTCATCAGCAACCCTAGATTCCAGGTGACATTTTTTACTTTTATCATCCTTTTTTAAAAGAAAAAAAAAAAAACGTCTTTTCCTTTTTTATTACAAAAAGGGAGAAGGGAGAAATGTCCAATGCCCTTGCTTACCGTTTTTTCGAACCTTTTTCCACTGTATATGGCACACACCTCTTCCCTTTACTTGTTAGGAAAAATAATCTTTTTTTTTTCCATCTTTTTACTTTTTTACATATTATGCATTTTTTAATCTTTTCGTAGCAGATGGGGTCTTATAACGGCCTGTNAAAAAAAAAAAAAAAAAAAAAAAAAAAAAAAAAAAAAAAAAAAAAAAAAAAAAAAAAACAACAACAACACACATTAACATTTTTTTTAATGTTTGCACATCGAAAAATTTGCGCAAAATGACCCCTTCAAATCATGTGATCAACAATACTGTATTCACAAATTGATGGTATCAAGTAATACAATAAAATTTAAAATACATCGCATCCTTGAAAATAAAGGCTGATGATGGCTCAAATTAAGCAGATTTTTCTTAAAAAAGTCTTTTTGTTTGATTTTTTTGGTAGCATGATATCATTAACATTTCAAAAATAAAACATCAGAAGAAAAGGCATCTGCTTGCTATTCAAAGTTGCGAAGAACTGCAGTGATTTTTGCAAGAGAATTTATTTTCCTTTTTTTTAATAAATCAAATGGTCCATGCCTACAATATTTGTATAGTCTTTAAAGTTAGTGTCATAAATCTGAAAACACTTTTTCATATAAATTTATTTCAAAAGAAAGTTTTATAATTTTCAATTTCTTTTTCTTTTTGAAAGAAAATTATAAACTTGGTCCTCATTATTATTTTGATACAGTATTAGTTTTTCATTGAATTCAAAATGATTTCACATTAAATATGTTTTCTAGTTTGCCAGTCAAAAATGAATTTTAACACCATTTATCAACTTAGTGACAATCACAGTGTAAATCAATATATGCACGATTTTTAATGATAATTGCTAGCAAGTCTAAACAGAAGAAAGAAATTAGTTTTACGGATTTATTGAATTTATTTCAAGAGTACTGATTTTTTTGCTAAGTTTCAATAATATTTTTTAACAGATTACAAATGTAGTAATAGACTTACTGCTCAATGCTGATCCTCGTGTTTCAATTTCACGTATGCATCTAATGACTAGAGAAGGTGCACTTTGAACAGATGGTAGGAATTGGCTACTTAAATCTTTTCCAAAAATAGCTGAAATAGAAATTTATATTAAGGAAACATTATTAAAGGAAGCAAGTATAAGAGGGATGAAATAAAAAAAAGAACGAAATCTGATAAAAGAAAAAAAAATCTTATAAAATATTCAATTAAAAATCAATGTTGTAAAAACTTCTATAAAGAAAAAGGTTTTTCATAATTACGAAGCTAATTTTTCATAATAAATGAGATATATCTTAAACAATAATTTTAAAATGCATTTATAGTAGTGTATTAAGTAAGTAACTCCAAAAGTATCCTCGTGCCTCTCTAGGGAATCACTATGTCCCACTCAATGTTAATGAATACTACTTTGTTATACATTTATTTATAACACTTATGAGAATTTTATTTATTTATATCACTTATTTATGATAAGTTTTTATTTCACTTAGGAAAAGGAGCCCTTAAAAAATCTTAAATAAAAATAATTTTGTGACAAAAAAGATTCAGAAGTAGTTCAATCAGTTGTATTTCTCTATATACAAGAATTAAATATTTTTTTTTCATAATTATAATATTAGGTTTAATATATTTAGTTTCATAAAGATTTGCAATAAGAATTTTAAAAAGCGTTGAGGAAATTCCTTTGAATTTAATTTTCAAACAAAAAGAAAATATAAACTAAATCTATTTGAGTTAGAGTCCACTGGATATAGCATGAGGAGACAAAATAAATATAACATTAGATACTTCTAAGTTTAATGTTTAAAAAACTTTTGGTGCAGTAAAATGTAAGGCGAAAAAAACCAACAGACTACAAAAAACTAAATTCTATGAATATTTTAAAAGCTTATATTGAAGAAGAAAAATTACAAAAAAACAATGAGAAGTAATAAACATACATACCTGATATTAGATTCCGCCTATTAGCTTTTTCTAAATTGTCAGTATTACATTGAGGTAAACCAGTAGCAGCACATGTACGATGCCAAATGAGACCACATTCTGTTCAAAAAAAGAAAAATTACAGTGAATTTTACAACAAATGATATAACATTATATGAAATATTTTAATACACATTTGAGTCACGAGCAAAGTCTGGTAGCAAAGTCTGGTAAATGCACTCTTGAAGAAGGAAAAATATATCATCATTCAAGTTTTTTCCCCAGCTTTACCAAATGGACGGTCAGTTAAAATTTTCCTTAATATAGCACAACTCAAATTTATTAGAGAAAAGCAGATTAAATGTATTTTGTTATACAGTTTGTTGCCATATTTTTATCATTTCATCAGAAAAACAGTTATAGTAGGTTTTGCCCCTGGTTTCATGAAATATATTTATATTAAATAAATAACTGAAAAATAAAATAACAATAATTTTTTAAACTACTCAAATAAGTCCTGTATAGCAATTTTGTTTACAGTAACGAACAGGTAATCCAACAAATTCACAGGCAAATTTTAAGATTTTTTTCATTAATTTACTAAATAATTGCTTTGTAAAAGTTATTTTTGCATTTTAAAATTAGTACAAAAATATTACAATGCCTCATGTTATTGAATTGAATATGGAAGATTAAAAAAAGCAGACTTTAATGCTATCTATAAAATAACTTTAAGGCACTTAGCATACATTTTGATTTCCATACTCGTACATATAAATTAAGGGGAAATTTGTCAAAAAGAAACGATAAGATTGAACTACAGTAACAATCTATGCAATACTAAAACACACATAATTAAAATGTATATAAGATGTTGCTATGACTGCCTTTAATATTCACATTTCTTAAGAACTATTGTTAAAAGTGAAATCAAAATAATTTATATATCTAGGGTTGCAAATGACTATTTAAGCAAGAAAGAAACAAAATTTTATTGAAATCTGCTAAAACACTAGTGAAGAAGGCAGATGAAAGAACATCAAAACCAGTTGGATTGCCTGACGACAGAACTTGAAGGCGTTTATTTCCAAATAGTCATCTTTCTACTTCTTGTTGATTTCTTCACCATTCAAACTGGTTTTAATGTTTTTAGTTCTGTCTTCTCAGTAGTTATTTGTTAGATTTTAATAGCATTTTTCTTCATACACTTAAATATTAAGTTGCGATCTCTAATGTGTAAGCTTTTTGAATTTCATGTCTGACAAGAAATTTAAAAATATACATGAAGGGCAGTTATAAGGCAACATTCTGTTCCATGAGTAATGACTGGAAGATATAACTACAGTGGAGCATCGTTTATACGACGATCACTTATACGACGTTTTAGTGTGGTCCCAAATCATTCCTATTCATTTTAATGTAAAAATATATCCTTTATACGACGCACAGAATCGGTTATACGTCGGTTTTTAGATTTTGTTCACATTTATTTAATTTTTTCTTGTGTATTTTAAAAAAAGGGCGGCATTTGCCAACATGAATGATACAGAAAAGGGTGCCAACAAGAATGCTTGGATGACGACCGTAATTTTTACTAGATGACTNCGTTTATTTCCAAATAGTCATCTTTCTATTTCTTGTTGATTACTTCACCACTCAAACTGGTTTTAATGTTTATAGTTCCGTCTTGTCAGTAGTCATTTGTTAGATTTTAATAGCATTTTTCTTCCTACACTTAAATATTAAGTTGCAATTTCTAATGTGTAAGCTTTTTTAATTTCACGTCTGACAAGAAATTAAAAAATATACATGAAGGGCAGTTATAAGGGAACATTCTGTTCCATGAGTAATGACTGGAAGATATAACTTTTTATCATGATTCAAAATACTTTGGTTTAAAAAATTTAAATAATAAGTACATGAAAATCGAAGTAAAATATTTGTGAATTTTTTTTCAGTGATAAAACATTTTGCATATCAAATCTATCACAGTTTTAATATAAATATCACTTGCCTTGACACACAACTCCCTGATGAATTAAGCCATGAAGATAGTTATGACACTTGTCACATTGTAAGACACATGAAAAACTTTGTTCTAGTAGTTGATGATTACCAGTTGGAGATGAACCTGCAACAAAACAAATACGATTGATTTTTTAAAAATTAAAATGAAAAAAAATAAGAGACTAATGATACGACTACCATAATTGCGGAATAAAAATTTTAACTTTTAATTATCTAATAACAAAAAAGAAAAACATTTACTACTTTTACGTCCTTTTCAATCAATGATAAACCCAATATTTGTTTTGATCAACATAGATTTTAACTTAGCTTACAAAGTTACCAGTTTACCTAAGTTACCTTTATGAGTCAGATTCATGTTCCCCTTCAGTTTATATAAACTCCAACATAAAGGACATATTTGAAACACACTTCTCAAATGTGATTTATAAGTCCATTCCTTATATATGAAATTAAATAAATAAAAAGCCACTAAAATTGACTTTGAAAATAAAGTGTTTGAAAACATATTTTATTTACTATAGGTATTTATGAACACCCTCAGTGTCAACTGTGTGGTTCTGGAGCACCAATGAATAGAGAGCACCTCCATTGCTGTAGGAGGCTCCACGGACTTGAATCGGAGAACGCAAGATATTGGCGTGCAAGAGAGCTTTTGGGAAGATGACTTCGGTTTTTGTTATTTTCTATTTTTATTGTTCCTTTGTGTTATTGATTGTATTCCCTGCCATTGGAAATAATAAAAAAAAATTTATTTACTGTTTTGAAATCCTAATTAACTGAATAATATTCATTTTACATTAAAGTTGCTTTCATTATCAAATAATCATAATGAAACTCTAACATAAAGGATATTTTTGAGACCAACTCCTCACACGTGACTTTTAAGTCTAATCCTTTTATATGAAATTAAGTAAATAAAAAGCTCCTGACTACGAGAAATAAAAAGTGTTATGTAGACACATTTCATTTACAATTTTGAAATCTAAAGTTAAAAAAAAACAACAACACATTTTTAAAATAAGATACTTTTTTAAGGTAAAGATTCTCAAAAAAAAAAAAATAAAATAAAAAATATGTACATTTCAATAATTTTAATCACTTTAGTACATGGCTAAGACAAATAAAGTAAGATAAGCATTTTAACACAACTTAACATAAATGCATAGAGATTTTTAATCAAAATTATTGCTTTTATGAGTTTTCCTGCAGCTTAGAAATGCTTATGCTCAAACATTTGACTTTGTATTTTAAAAAAAAAAAATATTACAACATGGACTCTTAAAAAGCCAATAGTTGCATTTTCAAAATCAATGGTAAAATTAAGAAATCAAAATAAAAACTTTCTTTACTAAAAAACTTTGATAGAAAAGATTTATATGAATATAGATACTGAGATACCGTTTTCCTTACACTTCTTAATAAATTTATGACTGTTAAGTTAGCAAAAAAGAAAAAAGAAGACTAAAACATACCATCTCTAAGAGAGGGACCAGTCTGAGATTTTGTTTCTTGTAGAGATCGCTAAAAACAAAAAGACATTGTCAATAATTAAAAAGAAAAACACATTTTTTAAAGGAAAAAACATAAGCATTTATACAAATATTTAATAAAATGAAACATAAAAGTAATCACTCATTTGTCTAATTATTTACAGTACATTTATATTTTTGACAACAGACTGGGTAGAGCAGTTAAAATAAAATTAAAAAAAGATACATAGATCTTAAAGCAATAAAATAGTAATCTTAAATTACTTTACATACATTATTTGGAAAACATCAAATAACTATAAAAAATCAATATCACAAAACTTACATTTAAATTATTTCTTTGACACAGATAATCAACACATACAAGAATAGCCTTTTGATGGAATTCGTCTTTTACACCCATATTCTGAAATTAAAATAGGCAAAAATTATATACATCCAGTTTAACGAAATTTTTTTTATAACATATATGTATTGAAAAGACATTTTTACCATTAATTTATCCCTGTCTAATGTCATGAGATCACAGCCTTTGATATCTTTGGATTTGAATAGTTCTGCATATCTAAATAAATTAAGGGCAGCCATCCACTCAACAACATTTGAAGATGTCCACAAATTTAAAGGCTAAAAATGAAATAAATATTTTAAATACTATTATTTAATTAAATGTATAAGGTGAGTATCTGTAAAGATAAGATAAATGCTAGATTAATAATTTAAAATTAATCAAATATACATCTCATTAAAATAAATTTGTACACAGTTGTTTTCTTCCACAAACAGCAATCCACTACTCAAGACAGAGACAATTGTCCTGCGGCTTGGTTCAAATTCTAAGCAAAAAGTGCATTTTACAAAATTATTGTATTAAGTGTATTTTACATGATTTACTGTTTGACAAAAATATGCAGAGAATTCTTCCTTAGATATACTTTATTTTACTATTTTTTGCACAATTATGCTTACCAGAACTCCAAAATAATAATTTAAGCCATTAAATATTTATTTTTCAGCAAATATAAACACTAATAAAACAGTTGGAAGTAAATAGTTTAGTATGTTAAATTAAAGTTGGTAAATTGTCGTTTTGAAAAAATCTTTCTCAAATACCTTACAATATGCGAAAATTACACTATTTTTGTATATTAAGGGAAGAAACTGCAATGAATTTCGTACCAGTACTCATAAAATATGTGTCTGGTGTTGACAAGCAGTTCCAGTTTCGAGAATCAATAATAATATAATTAAAGTATCGACTATTTTAGCTAATTCTTATGAGTAAATGTAAATTTTCTTAAAAAATATTTTACTAGAAGTCATAAATATTTATGCCCTACAGTAACACATATTTTCCTGCTAAGCCTTAGCAGAACCATTCAATGATTAATATCAACCCATTGCTAGAATTAATTACTGAATTTAGAAACTGAATTCTATTCTGGTATTAAAATCATAAGATTATTTAATGAGTGAATTACTTAATCTGATGTAACCTGTCAAAACACTTTTTTTCCTGACGCCTGCCATGATAATCATTTCCAACGATTATTTTTACCTTTTTCGTTTTTATTTTAACGGAAACTATATTTCAGCTCATTCATTTTCTGTTTATGCTAAAACCAAATTAAGAACTAGAGTAGATGCCACAACAGACCTTTGAATTCAACTTATATGACCCAATTTTAAGACTAATACGTTGATAAGACGATAAAATGAAAAAATTTCACTCACTTAATATTTTCGAAATATTTAATACTCCTTCGTTAATCAATAAATAGCTCATAAAATTTATTCATCTTGTCTCGGGGTTGCGCCAAAAGAAGGTCGATCATTTAAGGCTCCATAACCGAAAAAATTTGGGAACCGCTAATATAAACTAAATAGTTTTTATTAACGAAAATAAACAAACATTAAAATGACTTATGAAAATATTTAATCTGGATTCCGTTTCTTTAAATAAAACAAGACTACTATAAAAAATAATAAAGCCGACATTATCTTCATATTATATTATAAAAAGAAAGTAGGAAAGCTCGACTACAGTTAAAAACGAAACAAGAAAGGGTTGAGAAGGAATTAAATTTCGAGTAGGAGGAAGAAAGAGAACGGGTGGATGGAAAAAGGAAGCAAAAAAAGTAATACGTGCATTAATCATTTGGACAGATGCAGCACGTGGATGACCTGAATAGCGTGTCGCTCCTACCTCGTGCTCCACGAAGGTAAAGTGCCTAATTCTCTATCCTTAAGCGAGGTAGGAGCGTTCTGGTCAGGCAGCGGTGTAAAAATGTCACGATTTTTTTTTTCTTCTCTTCATCTACACGTCAAATATGATGGAGTTTCCCCAATTGAATTTTGCATATTTTCTTTTTTTCTTCTTAAGTCTCGAAAGGTGATATTATACAGAAAATCGTGATGCATTTTTAAATCAAACAAAAGATATCTAGAGGGACTTACATTTTAAATCGAAATCTGGGTATTCATAAATATCTATTATAGTTTAAATATCTTTTTGAATTATGATAAAATACTTCGGTGTGTTTATAGATAGGATTTGAAATAATATTAAGCCAAAGACTAGGTAGCAGTGTTAGCAAATCTCGTGGTTCATGATTCCTGCATGAATTGAATCTAAAATACTTATTTTAATTATCACCCTCTTAATTTAGCGGGTCCCTACTTTACAGTGCATACTTTTTAATAACGTAATTAATAAAATCAAGGTAGCAAGTAATCAAGTCCATAATCTTAAGTTGTGGATCTTCTGTTAGATTATTTACAACATGGGCTTAGANCTCTTCTAGCTTTTCCACCAAAATTTACGTTAGTGTTATCAGCACAATGGGCAATAATTTTATTGTTTAAATTATTCTTTTTTAAAATAGTACTTATTAAATCAAAAATTATTTGTGAAGTTTCATCAGGCACTGAAACAAAATCTAATATTCTAATTTGAATTCCTGTTTCTGGATCAAAAAATCTAACACCTGTGGGAAATAATTTTGAATCTTTGTGGTTGGAAGCATCAGAATATATGGATATAAATGCGCATTTTTCTAATTCTTTTGCAATTGTGAAAACGAATATGGTGAATAAACATTACAAATAATTGCTTCGGTTTTTGTCCTTGCACATGCGTATTTATTGTCGTATAATGTTTTGATCACTTGCGACGTACAATCCATTGATCTGAAACTTTGATTGTGGTTTATGGCGTGGAAAGCAAATAGCCCTTCCGCTAATGCCTGCTGTTTTTCCGTGTTGCCAAAGCTAGCACTGTGAAAAAACTGTTCCATTTTAGACGAGGAAGCGGCATTATTAAAAAATCTTTTGTGCTTCTTTGTCGCTAGATGTTTAGTAATATCGTTTTTTCCACCATGTGCGACCGAAAATTCAGCATTGCATTTACCACACCGTACCATATAGTCTATTTTGGTACTTTTAATAAATGGAAATTCTCTGCTTAGCTCTTCATTAAATTTGCATCCTCTTTTTTTACTCATCTTTTATTTTGTGGGTAAATACAAGAAATAAATAAAAAAATTTACTACATAGGCTAAAAAAGAGTATTAAATTTTACCTTATTGACAGTTACTTTGTGGCGACTATTGCTCTACCTTTGTCAATCAAATAATGAGTCAAACCGAGTCCGCACTTATCTGAATTAAGCCGAGACGTAAAGACAATGATCGCACACCACCAAGTAAATCTAACTCAGTACATTGCCTGCATACTCTTACTCTGCACGCATTTTATGTGTCTTTTATGTATTTTTTATTTCTTTATATTCACCATAATACTTAATAAATAATAGGAATACATTTTTACAGTACATTTAAAATAAGAAATACAGATATTTTCTAAAAAGCGGGACATTTTTAAAAATCGGCGGGACGCGAGACAGTCCACCAAAAAGCGGGACTGTCCCGCCAAAATCGGGACGTGTGGTCACTTTAGCTTAGACGCTTTTATTTTAAGGGCACCAATATCAATAGTTTATTCATTAAATTAGACAAAATTATAAAGGAGAAATTGGCACGCAAAAGCGAGCAAGTAGTGGAGATCTCTTTTTTTTTTTTTTGAAGGAAAAAAACCCCATTTACAATTGTATTTTAAACATATCGGTTTTCTAAGAGATACGTCGGAAAATCGTTCCCATTGCAAACATATAATGAAGAAAACTTGACAAATCTTTTGATTTTTTTTATTTAATAAATATGTAAATTTTTTATTTAATTATTATATTTTAAAATCGCATTTTTAACTTATTTTTGAATAAATGATAGCAATCTTTAAGAATATGTTATATATTTTCTTTAAGAATATATTATTTATATATTTGATACATATAAGACAACAAAAACAAANTTTTATTTAATAAATATGTAAATTTTTTATTTAATTATTATATTTTAAAATCGCATTTTTAACTTATTTTTGAATAAATGATAGCAATCTTTAAGAATATGTTATATATTTTCTTTAAGAATATATTATTTATATATTTGATATATATAAGACAACAAAACAAAACACACACAACAAAATATGTGTAATATATACAATGTTAGAAATTTTGTACCATGATATCGTTCAAATCTGCAGCTACTTTAATACGATGCTGAAATGGTCCATACTATTGTATTTCAATCGTAAACTTGACAACACCATACAACATGAACGGAAACATGTTTCAGTTTAGATCCTCATTAAGGAGACAGCAATTTCGCACCGTATAATGAATCAACGTAGAATTAATTTTACTAAGAATGTAAGAAAAGCCATATTTTGAAAAAAAAAAGAAAAAAAAAGAAGTAATTTACACTCGAATTAAGCCAAAATTTCAGAGATGTTTAACCAAAATCGATTATTGGATTTCTGAAGTTAAATTTTAGTTGGACTCTACATACAGATTCATCATTAGAAATATGCTAAAGTTAATTATTTTCATGTTATTGTTAGTAAAAAGAATAAATAATCTCTTTTCCCCAAAAAGTCTTCATGATTATCTCGAACAAACACTATAGTAAAAACGTAGTACATTTCTATAAATATATTTTAGGGTACTTTTTAAAATGGAATATAAAAGCTAAGTTTAAATATGCTTAAACATTCCAAGACAATGACTTTATTTATAACAGCATCAAACGTTTGAAATAAAATTAACGAAGACAATGTTTGCATATAAAGCTTATAGCATTATATTATCTGAAATTTTTATCTCTAAAATTTTCAAAACATTTTTAAAAGAGATTTCTAACCATATCATCTAAAAGAAATTATAAAAAAAGGAAAACAAGAAGCTTCACGCAGAGGTACTTCAAGGGAGAAAAAAAAGAAATTTTTTGAAAAAAAGTCAGAATATTGGACATCTATAAGTGACGTCATCGTAGGTAAATCATAACCTCATAACATATGTCGATTCAGAAGCCAATTAGGTCCGACACACACGCGTGACGTCGTTTACAGGTATCCAATTAAATCTGATTTAAATCACATGGTTAGGCCTAATCACTTCACTCTTTTTCGAGTTGTAAGTACCCAATGGAAGCACGAGACACGATTTAAATGATACCATTAGATGACAGACATCAAATTAATTGGCAACATATGAGAAAGAAAACGAT